CCATCACTGCGATAAAGTTAACCTTGGTTACTCATAAACGTTTTAATAATCGCTCAACTCATAGAATGTAATCCTTTTTTATTAAATTTACTTGTCTAATTTGACAGGTCATATGCTTGTAAATAGACGAATAGAAATTTAAATAAACCAGCTGTAATAAAGGCAATTTCCCCTCAAATTGGATTTAAGTGCTATTTTAATTTAAAAAAAACCTTTTATTTATATTGTGTTTTTATTTTTTAAATCTTGATTTACTCTGTCCCCATTTAATGTTACTTAATATTTATAGTTGTATTTTTTTAAATAATTCGCATCTGTAAAAATATTTTTTTGCTCTATTTCAATTTAGTAGAGTGTAATCATTAATGATAATTTTATGGAAACAACTCTTTGAAAAGCCCTTTACTTTGAAATAATTATTATTCTGGCTAACAGACCCTTAAATAATATCCTCATAGCTTCGGAAAACAGAGAATGCAAATGTAATAATTGATAACTACGAATTATTACTACAGAAATGCGAAATTTTTTAAGTGAGTTTAAAAAAACTAGCAGATTTAGCAAAGAGTATACTGTTGTTTATAGACATCATAATATTAAATTAAAAAATAAAATATATATATACTTTAATAAAGCTCTGCAACTTTACCCATCACTTTTAAATGTCTGGAAGAAATTAACAAAGTAGATAAAAGAGTCACCAGATTTGTGTTACCCGTTGGCGCCACTATAAATATGGATGGAACGGCTCTTTATGAAGCAGTAGCGGCATTGTTTATAGCTCAAATAAATGGGATTAAACTAAATGCCGCACAAATTATTACAGTTAGGTTTAAATTTTTCAAAATTATTTTTAATCTTACATACCATTGTTTTATATTTGTTTACAATACATATTGCCTACTAATTTTTCTTCGTGTTTAGCGGAAAAATAAGGATAAATATCGTTTAATGCAAAAAAAATCCTAAAAATTTATATTCAAATATCTTTATAGCTTAACAGCAACCATAGCAAGTATAGGCGCGGCAAGTGTACCGAGTGCAGGTTTGGTTACTATGTTATTAGTTTTATCATCCGTAGGACTACCGACTAAAGACATTAGTCTAATAGTTGCTGTGGATTGGTTACTGTAAGTATTTATAAGTATATATATAAATAAAATTTGGATGATGATGTAAGTTCGGTCAGTGGTGCCTATAGATATATTTTTAATGATTTTTAACATAGTTTTGAATTAGGTTTAATTTAATGTACATTCTAATTCCCAAATTTAATAAATATTTAAAAATATAAGAGATCGCATAAGAACGTCTGTAAATGTGTTGGGCGATGGTATAGGAGCCGGTATAGTCGATCACCTAAGTCGCGCCGAGTTAGATAAGATCGATGCAGAACATACTTTAATGAATTCTTCTTTTAAAGAAGATAGGGATAGTTACGAATCAGGTAATAAAAACCATTTAGAGATGATACATCTCGACCCAGGACATATTAATCATGAGAAAAATGAGAACGGAAATTCGTCAAAGTTTTCTCACGATCGATTTAGCACTCCTCAAATGTCTAAAAGCCTTATTTCTATCCCTGATGAGCATTTGACTGTTCCAAATAAGCGATTCGATGATTCAATAATATAGACCAAGGTGGTGATAGATTGTAGAAACTCAAAACTTTAATTGTATTTAATTATTTTAGAAGTTTAATTATTGAATATCCAACTCTTCTAATAAATTACTAAGATTGGAAGATGATGTATAATTTAGAAAAATAGCTTACTGCATAACTTGTTCTAGCATTTGAATATATTTATTATTTAACTCTTGTAAATAAATATGTGCTTCAAATTTTTTTTTTGACCTTAATCTTTTATTCCATTTTAAAAATAATCGCTATTTAATACAAATTACTTAAAATTTTATCTTTAAGTTAAATTATATTTTAAATATCAACACAATTGAATACTAACTTAAAAAAATATTATTTCTTTTACAATTTTCGATAAAAATTTATAAATTGAATTAATATACTTATTTTAACAATTACGTAATTTCACTTATGTTCTTAAGTGATAAAAGGTACCAACATAAATATACACGTTGACTAAATATATTATTAATAATATAGAATCATTGATGATATAAAATAATTACATTTTTTTAACCATCGCCATCATCAAAATAAATTTAAAGCATAACTCTTTTTCAATACGTTGTAAATAAAAAAAAGTATTTTTTATACATAATATTTTTACATTATATTTTTTTATTAATTGAAATATCTTTTGTAAAAAATTTTCAATAAAGTTGTCTAGTCATTATTGATTGCTGTTAGCTAACTCCATTAAGTTAGACATAACTTTTATTGAGGATTAGTAGTTTCATCAAATATTATTGCTAAGAGTGCTTTGAGTTTAAAAAAGATATTATATGGCTATAAAAATGTGGTAATATTAAATATAATGGATATATTTTCTTTACGATTATTTAAATCGTCTTAATCCTCCTATATTGGAAATGGTTTCTTACTATTATCCTTTTTTGTTTTATATATATATAAATATATTTTGTTTTTTTCTATTTTTACTTACGGTAGGTTTTTTATTTCCTTTTATTATTTCTTTCACGCAACATACATCAATTAAAATTTACAAAATAAAACATATCATAATCAATTTTTTTCTTTTGCTTCCATTATATATTCACTTTCTACCCCATCATCGTTATTCATCACAAAACAAAAATAATAATAATAATAATAATAATAATAAATAGTTTTTTTCCTTTTCGATAAAAAAAACGATAATAATAATAATTTTTTCCTTATAAAAAAACAATAATAATAATAATAAATAATAAAACTTTCATAATGTTCCTCAATAATGTTCCTCGTTATTTCTTTCAAAATTCCTCGATACTGTTCCTCGACACGCCCCTTTTCAACAGACTCGATCCTCCAGCTACTCCTCCCAGAGGCTACCCCACTCCGACTCCTCCACCACGATATCCAGCCATTCTCCCAGCTCCTCTACATCATCCAACACCACTACCAGGTCTTGCCATTCTTCAGTTACCTCTACTCCTGTACTATCTCCTACCTGTTCTGATTCCGCGGTCATATCTCCCCCCGTAATACCATTCAGTCCCTCACTCTCATCCGTAAGATCAATCATCGGCCATATCCTTGGTTCCTCGCTGGCTGCCGGCTCGATCCGCCTCCCTCCTTCTGATCTCCTTGTTCCCCTGACTTCGGCGACCGGTCTAGATTCGTCGCTCGTTTCCTGGATTTCAGCGCCCTGTCCGTATTCCTCGCTCGTTCCTTGCTCCTGCTCCGGGCTTTGCCCAAAAACGACTGCTATCTGCCGCGTAGGCACTTCACCCACCGTTGGGCGCACCGTCCGCCATTCTCTATTTCCCCCCGTCCTCTGCCAATTCCAGGGGCAGCTATATTGAATATGCCCTCGCTCTTGACACCAATAGCACCGTCTATCGTCCCTCACTCGTCTCATTGTACTGCGCCCGCTTTTCCATCCATTCCCCCTACTCCCTCGCCATGTCCCTCGGGATTGCATCCTGAATACTATTTCATAGTTCCCTTAAATCGAGCTTCTGGACAAACTCAGAGCGTGATTAGGATTCATTTGATTATTCACCTAAACATATTATATATTTTTCTAAAATACATACTCCTTACGGAATTCCCGTTAAAGTAATCACTAATTTTATTTAATTTACACACAAAAAAAATTATAATTTTTTTTTTAAAAAAATTTCTTCTAAAAAAATTTTTTCTCTCTCCCCTATTTCTTTTCTTTTGGCCCACTGCCTCCTAAGCCTATGCTTCGCACGCCGAGTAATTAATTATCTTTTCATCAAATAATTTGGGACTGCGCCCTTTTCCCATCTCTAACATCTCCAAATTTCCTTTCCATAATATGCTCCCCAACAACATATCGTTCCAACTCTTTTGACATTTTACTTATCACAAGACAAAAATTAATTACATTTGTTACCCAAAAAAATTTTTACATCATTATATATATTTTTTCTTTTATTTTCATCATACGCGATTTAATTGGGGATGGCATACAGTCAAATACAGTTAATATAAAGTACAAATTGAAAATAAATCTTTGGGATACTATGGGAATATAAGAATAGCTACATTTGTAATTTGATATAATACTAGGGAAGTATAAGAATAGCAAATGATACATTTGTAATTTGATATAGACAAAATTACCGGTAACACCTTGCCAATTTTTGTTACCTTTCCTTTTCTATATACTCCTCTATCTTCACACCCGCTGTTTCTTTTATTTTCATCATACGCGATTTAATTGGGGATGGCATACAGTCAAATACAGTTAATATAAAGTACAAATTGAAAATAAATCGTTGGGATACTATGTGAATATAAGAATAGCTATTTGTAATTTGATATAATACTAGGGAAGTATAAGAATAGCAAATGATACATTTGTAATTTGATATAGACAAAATTACCGGTAACACCTTGCCAATTTTTGTTACCTTTCCTTTTCTATATACTCCTCTCTATCTTCACACCCGCTGACTTCCCCTATTCCCACCTTCCCAACCTACGTCCTTTGATCCGACCTAAGCCTTCCGGGGTCCATTCCTCTCTTTAATTGATCTCTGTGCCTCATGCCTTCTCTCCCATCTGAGAACCGTATCCTATGCAATTTGTTCCCCACGTTTTCTACGACCACACCGGATTCCCATTTCTGGTTACCCCCAAAAATTCTTGCCCAAACCTTTTGTCCCACCCCAAATTTATACACGTTATCCCCCGAATCCATCTCTGGGGGTATCTCTTGTTTCAACAAATCTAATTGAATGCGAGTTCTACGGCCCAAAATTTTTTCCGCCGGCGACAACTCCTCTCCTTTTCGACTATTATTATAATAGGCTACGGCCATCCATAGTTCCCCCCCCGCCATATTTCGACTTTCTTAACCATCTTTTAACCAGAGCTACCATTCTTTCCGCCTGTCCGTTTGAGCTTGGATGATACGGAGGTGCTAAGACATGTTTACCCCGGTTTCCGTGCAAAATTTTTCAAATTGTCTACTCACAAAAGCGGGACCGCCGTCGGACACGATTGTCCTTGCTACTCCAAAACGAGCCCATAAATTCTTTAAGGTCTTTATTACAATTTGCGTAGTTAGCCCCCTTACTGCCTCGTACTCTACCCATTTGGAGTATGCATCTACCACAATTAAATAGATTTGCCCCTCGAAGTCAAAGAAGTCGATGTGGATACGTTCCCACGGCTGTGTAGTCTTGGGCCATACACTTTTCTTGTCTCTGTGAGGCATACTCGCCCAGAGGTTACACATTTCACAGCTTCGGCTTATGTCCTCAATCTCTTTGTTCATTCCTGGCCACCATACATATTCTCGGCCCCATTGCTTCATTTTTTCGACTCCCTGATGCCCTGCATGAATCATTGCCAAGACCGAATCTCTCAATTTAAATGGTACAATACCCCTACTTCCCCGTACCACACAGTCATCCACTATAGCTAATTCCTTTTCGATGTATTTAAAAACTTTATCTCCTTCGCTCCAAGGTTTTTGCCCCTTTATACACGCCTTAATTCGAGTAAATTCACGATCCTTTAGAGTTGCCCTTTTAAGTTCTGCCCAAGTTATCGGTCCTCCCTTGGCTATTTTGACCATTGCTCGAATTAGTCCTTGCTCCTTTCCCTCCTCTATATCCTCTTGAGCCATTTCATATCCTTCTTCTCCAGCTCCACACCTAGAAAGAATATCTGGTAAACAGTTTTCCTTTCCCCGTCGATATTTCAATTGTACATCAAAACTTCCCACAAGTAAGAGCCATCTCTGTAACCGGGGCGACAGCATCAGTTCTTTATTATCCTTTTTGAACAGGTGTACTAGCGGCTTGTGGTCTGTATATATCACGAACCGACGCCCAATCAAATACTCACGGCATTTCGTCAGTCCAAATATAACAGCCAATGCCTCCTTTTCAATCACAGAATATCTTGTTTCTGCGGCTCTGAATATTCTCGAGAAAAACAAAACCGGTTTTTCCATACCATCTATATAATGCAGTAACGCGCCCCCTACTCCTTTACGATGCATCTACCGCCAACACCACCTCCAACTCGTTGTTAAAACACATAAGAATGGGCTCCCTTCCAATTCTAGCTTTCAATTCTGCAAATGCATTCTCTTGTTCTTCCTTCCACTCAAATTTTTCACCCTTCTTTAGCAAGGTATATAATGGCGCAGCTATTTGAGCGAATCCCTCTACAAATCGGTGGTAGTAATTCACCATTCCCAAAAAAGCCTGAACCTCAACTTTATTATTCGGCCTCAACATATTCGCAATCCCCGTCATATTTTTATCCAACGGTCTAACCTCTTTTCCCGTTATTTTATGTCCCAAATATACGACTTCCGTCACTCCTAACACGCTTTTTTCGGCACTGGCCCGCAAACCCTTTTCTTTAATTCTTCGTAACACCTCCTTCAATCTTTGCTCATGCTGTTCGGGAGTTCGCCCCATTACCAATACGTCATCCATATAATAGAATACGCCTTCTATCCCTTGAAAAACCGCAGCCATAGTCCTCTGAAATATCGGAGCGGATACACTTAATCCAAAAGGTAATCTACAA